CCACTATTCAAGTCTTCGACTAAGCCACTGGAATTAACTGAATCGGAAACCGAATACGTAGTGCATTGTGTTAAACATGTCTTCGCACGTCATATTGTGTTCCAGGTAAGAGTATTTTCCAGTTCTCTGATAAGTTACTTACCACCTCCCTATTAGGGGCGGACCATTAGAAATCCCGGGAGACGGGGGTATAAAATTTTTGCGGCACTATTTTTTTTTCAGTCCCATGTCTCTGCAGGATTTTTTCTTTGCACGAATTTTTTGGGGGGAATTTTCACCCCCCCCCCCTCATGGGATTTCTAATGGTCCACCCCTTAGCCCCTTTCTTTGCCTTTCATACCCTTTAAATCGTTTTCTCTTTTTCGTCCCCAGTATGACTGTACGAACACGCTGAACGACCAAGTACTCGAGGATGTAACTGTGGATATGGAAGTATCTGAGGGCGAATATGAGATACTAAAGACCATTGCGTGTCCTAGTTTACCCTACAATACCCCTGGTACCACCTATGCCCTCGTCAAGATACCAGACGATCAAACTGAAGGTATAATAATACTACAGAATAAACCGTGGAGCATGCTCACAATTTCCCTGGATTACTTTTCAGATAACATTGCTCTATGTCAGAAATAGCTGCAGCAAAAATTACCTCTTGTAAGATGGCCTTAATTGAAATAGCCTCGATAAAAGATGATTCCAGACGGAATTTTGATCTAGACAACAAGAATGAAACCATTACCATAGCTGGAAAGAGCATCTTAAAATGAGTAAAATTGCAGAGTTTGGTTGAGTAAAGTTGTAAAATGAGGAAAATATAGCCCTGTGAAGTTCGCAAATTTTGTATATTTTTTGCATTACGCGCGGGAAAAATAGCCATTTTTGAGCCGAAAATGGTTATTTTTACCGCGCGTAATACAAATATATACAAAATTTGCGAACTTCACAGGGCTGTAATTTCCTCATTTTACAACATTTCGCAACCGAACTTTGCAGTTTTACTCATTCTAAGATGCTCTTTCTAGCTGTGGTGTTGGATTTCGTTGTTCTTGCCTAGATCAATTTAGTCTATAGTCTAATCACTCATTTCAGTTGAATATTTTTCGTATATTGTAACAATCACTTGACATGGATGATTTTCGTTGTGTAGTTACGGGGACGTTCTCAAATACGATGAAGTTTATTGTGAAAGATTGTGACCCCAACACAGGCGAAGCCGACGAAGAAGGATATAACGACGAATATGTGGTATGTTTAAGACCTTTGTATTCTGGGAGGAAAGCGGGAAATGTCCGTGGAAGGAACTAACTGATAAAACTATCCAGTAGAAAATAAAGTTAATTTAATTTAGTTAGGTTTTTTGCTGTAGTAACACTGGGTCAACAAGGCATGATCCTTGACCAGGGTCTTAGCTAGAGGGCCGTGTTGGCCGTGTTATCGCGGCCAAAAGTGGAAAAACACGGCTAGATAAAATGAACGCGGCTTCACTATTTATATAAGGCCGTGTATAGGTTCATAAAATAAGGTGGTGCTACTTACAACAGACAGAATTTCTTCCTATTTACGTCAAGAAAGTTTGTAGAATCTACTGTTGTTGTTGAATTGGCAAAAGTGATCCGTGATGTTTTAATGTTTTGATGGATAATGGAAACTGTATGGTGTTAAAATGGTTT